TAAATGCAGTATTGACACTGTTCATGAAACCTCTACTGTTTGTCGTTAGGCACTTCTGAATGACGGTTTCTCCAAAACTTGTCAATTTTTCTACACCCTTGCGGTTACACTTTTTTGCAATTACCGCTTTCGTGCTTGAGTTAAAAAAGGGCTTAACCCATAGAAATATCAGTCCATTTCTTAAAAGAAAAGGGATTTCCATTATCCACTCATTATTTGTTTTCATCACATTTGGAAGTGCGTCACGAAAACTAGGTCGAGTACATCAGATCCAGACTTCCATGTTTACTTATGAGTCTCCTTGGGTATAAAAGGAAGAATATCCGGCAATAACCATAAACCTTGGTTTTGTGTACTAAACCCAGTGTTCCTGGTTTCCCGTCCAAATATACCGACTTGATACCATTTCTTTTAATAGGAGGCGTGCCTTATCCAGGGTGGAACGAATGGAAAGTTGTGTATGAACTGAAAGTGAACAAATATCGGATGCCTCAACCAGAACATGTCAGTGATGAACTGTAAGTGCGAATTAACCAATCTTATAAGATTGGTGACTCGTATGGATTTCTATCTTTTATTGTCGCCTAAATTATATCCCTACAAGAGGCAAGAAAATAATTTTATGTCGTCTTTTTAGCTATCTCAAAACAAATTTCTTTAAAAATTAGCAATATAACTGAATAGTGAATAAAACTTTAGAACTGAACGGACCCATTGAACCTAGCCGATCAAAACTGACAAACGCCTCCTAAGCCCTTAATGGTTCCCAAAGGCAATGACGAAACTGGCCAAAAATTTTTAAACAGTCATACCTATGATCAAATTACCCGGTCGACAATAAATTTTTGGTCCTGTTTTTTTCCTTCGATACCCCTAATCTGTAGATATCAGCTTATGGCGGATTGTTGGAACGAAGACCCTGACGCCAGACCCACGTTCGATCATCTTCATGAAGTAATGACTGGGTTTTTGCAGGAAGAGGTAACTATTAACATTAGACAAAATACTCTCCTGATTTGCTTGTCTATTCATGCTATCTCAAAAAGCGTTCCATTTAGTCAAGTCTGAATTTGATCCATTGCGTGGCTTAAAATTGCCATTGGTTGCGAATGGCAAGCCTCCATATGTGGACAGTAGGGGCACGAATTTCCCAAAGTAACTGGCAGAGGATAGAAATAATCTGTATAGTATCAAATTCTACTGTGAAAGGCCTATATATACTTATTCTTCAAGAATGTTTTAGTAGCGGCTAGTTGCCGACCCTATGAAATAGTGTGTAGGAGCTGCAATGTGTTCATAGTCGAATAATAAGAAGGCTTATTAATTTTATAGAGTAAGGGTCTCCGTTGTTAGGATTTCCTCACTACATCTTTTGAATGTTGCAGTATTAGATGTCTTTTAACTCCATGCCATTTTTTCAGCACTATGTGGATATGTCAAAGTATGAACCAAGTCTTTATGCAAATGTGGAGGAAATGGTCACTTCTTCAGGTCTTGCTTCTTTTGATAATTTGACAACTGTGCTGTAGAAGATCAAGATTATGACCAGAACATGGATTAAAACTGTATAGCTAAAAACCATTTTACTGCTGTGATTTATAACTGTTTAGATTGAAGGAAATAGTCTTTAAATGCGTGCAATCTGTAGATAAAACAGCATGATAGGTTCTTGAATTCTTAAATCCTCAAGGTTTTTTTCCTCGCAATAGTTTGTCATATTTACAAAGCTACTGTTATGGACCAAGGAAATGACATCGTCAGTAATAACAATTTTAATAGATAAATAAATATATAATGATGACAGAAGTAATAATAATGGTAATGGTAATGATAATAATGATGATGACGGCAATATCAGCTCCGATATTGATTTATTATGTCCCAGATCTGGAAAGAAAAATTATAATAAAGAAACTGAAAGTAGAAAACAACGATAATAATAATGATTAGAATAATAATGATAATGGTGATGATAAAAAAAAGTTTTAGCCGAGAGAGATAAAATAACTCAAATGACAAACGGAGAACTTGAAAAACAAATAGTCTCGTTATCTTGGAAGGCAATAAGCACACAGACATTGTCATCATCAGCAGTAACAACTCCGAAGACAACTGTGTAACAACAGCCACTAAGGCCTGTATGGACAATGACAGTTTCCTCTAGCTGATAAAATTTTCCTTTTTCTCTGTAAATTATTGCTGTAACCCAAAACCCCGACACTATTGTATCGTACGCTTTACATGATCATTAAGGCTTTTCTTGCTCAAAATTAAAACAAGCTAAAAAATTCCAAATCAATACTGTGTGTAGCAATGGTATTGGTCAAGTCGCACGACAACTGCAAATGTTAGGGATTTTGGTAAACTATCATTTTAGCTCATAGAGATGAAAAAGATCACATAAACCTTTTTTCAATTCTACTGTATAGGACTTAATTTCTTATAATTACAAACTGGCATATCGAAGATTGTTTCATTTAAACTTGATGGAGATTTAAGCTTGATATTTGAATCGAGATGAGTTTACGAGAAGTTGAACGAGTTGAAGGAATTTTCATTCGTATTCTTTTATCAATTGTAACGAATATTTTTTTCGCAAAGTAAAAACTTCGCCTATGTGACTAAATCACCTGGAGTTGCAGTAAATGGCCGGATCACCGTTTCTTTTTACAAGCAAGATTTTTCTACCATCTCCCTTCCTTAATGCCTGAATAAAATGAAGCCTTACTTAACAGCGATCTCTTCTGGAGGTCAACCGCTGACGTAACAAAAACAGACAGGATGCAAAAAGGGGTGCGAAATCATGGGAATCCTTTACTAATGCTCTAAGGAAAATCAGAGAGAAAATATAAAAAAAAATTCATGTAATGCATTACCCCACGCCCAAGTGGGGTAATGCATACAAGTGTAGAAGTAGATTCCCTGTCCGTCAAAACTATTGTCACCAAGGAGATGATCTGACTTAAATGGCGCGCCTCAACAGATAAGAGAACTAAAAAGCTGCAAACAAAACGAAACAACTAACAAACGAACAATTGTTTTTTCTTTTTTCTATCATTTTATTTCAGTCAATTTCTTTTTATTCCTATCTTTTTAAATTGCTTCCTCTCCTTTCGTTTTGTTAATTTCTTAAGACTCACAATCTGCGCCTCGGTTTATCTAAAGTTCTGGGAGAAATTATAAGATGAAAAGTGCTGATTTTTGAGAGACTGTCATTATCATCATCAATCTTAATATTTCTACTTATGTTCTCTAGATTCTTCCAAGTCATATCCTTGTAAAGCTTTAGGACACATTACTTTCTTCAAAACGAACACAGAAATTATTTTGTCCGTCCACAAAACCAAATTTCATTCATTGAAAAGCTAACTTATTTTTCTTTTCTATCATTTTATTTAAGTTAATTTCTTTGTACTCGTATCCTTTTAAATTGCTTCCTCCCCTTTGGCTTTGTTAATTTAATTCGACTCACAATCTGCGCCTCGGTTTATCTAAATTCCGGGAGAATTTATAAGCGCAAAAAGTTTCCGCCACATGCAATTATCAGAATGTGTAACCAGGGCCAACATCAAAAGAAAATAAGTAACAACTGTTCAAATATTGCTCACGGAGCAACACTGAGTGACTAGTCAGCTGGAAAGAGAGACATCTGCGGTGTTTGCCTCTGAGAGAGTCA